GGCAACAGATGTTGGCTCAGGGCTAACCTTCCTCACAGAAAAACAAAAAAGAAAGAAAATATATCATTATACACTTATAACGTAAATAAGAAATATTCTATTATTATTATTCCTATTTTAAAGATAAGGTAACTAAGGCTCAGAGATAATAAATAGCTAACCTGAGGTCAGAGAGCTAGTAAATAGTGTAGCCAGGATACCATCACAGGTCTTTTGACCTCATATTCTTTGCCCTTTCTACTGCCTCAAGTCAATTATTTTTTCTTTATAGTTTTTTATACTACTTATATAGAATAATTATTATAGATAATACAATAAAAAAGTCACAAAGTGACTGTCCTCGACATCGAGACAAAACATACAAACTTCTTTTTACTTTTAACATGTGTTTTGGAGACCAAACATACAAATATCTCTTTCCTCTTTACATGTGTTTTTGCAATTTTTAGTAATAAAGACAAAATAGATCATAAGCCCACACATGATATAATTTGTTACAAGAAACTCCTTTGTGGACAATTATAGCAGGCTGTGGGAAGTACGCCCACACCTAGGTGAATAAGAAGTTCAAAATTCTTCCATTTAAAAAAATACAGGGCCGGCCTGGTGGTGTAGCAGTTAAGTGCGCGTGCTCCGCTGTGGTGGCCCGGGGTTCGCTGGTTCAGATCCCGGGCGTGCACCAACGCACTGCTTGTCAAGCCATGCTGTGGTGGCGTCCCATATAAAGTGGAGGAAGATGGGCACGGATGTTAGCCCAGGGCCAGTCTTCCTCAGCAAAAAAAGGAGGATTGGCAGATGTTAGCTCAGGGCTGATCTTCCTCACAAAAAAATATATAAAAATAAAAAAAATACATATTGAGTACTTGTATATGCCAGACATCGTTTTCTGATATATCAGTAAACAAAACAAGACAAAGATCTCTATCCTCAGAGTACTTACGTTTTAGCAGAGGAAATACTTACAATAAACAAAATACGTAAATTATGTATTATATTAAAAGATACTCAGTGCTATGGGGGGTGGGTAGAGCAAAGTAGAGGGGATTGGGGACCTGAAGTGCAGGGGATGTGATTCTGAAAGGGACAATCAGGGTAGACCTCACTAAGAAAGTGACATTTTAGCAAAGACATGTAGAAGGTTGGGAATACGTGGATATCTGTGAGGATACCATTTAGGCAGAGAGAACACCAGCACAACGGTGTGAGGGGATCACGTGTGATGCAATAGAGGAAGAGCAAGGAGACCAGGGGAGCTGAATAGAAAGAAGACACGAGAAAGTGGTCACAGATCAGGTCAGAGAGCGAAAGGAAGGGCCTGCAGGGGTCACGTGGGCAATTGGAAAGACCACAGCCTGCCTTTGTAAGTGACTGTTCAAAATAAGGTACAGAGGAGGCCTGGGAGAAGGCATCAGGCCACACGGCTATTTGTAGTTCCTTTCATTTCACTCTGCCTCTCTCACTTTTTGAACAAGTTCAAAGGATTCTGAATCCTGATCATTCTTCCTTTTTCTCTTTTTTTACTTCCTCTGTGCAGATGGGGAAAGATGTGGTCAAGGTTAAGGGCTCTGGTGAAAGACAGAAAGTAACAAACAACTATCTCAGCATTTTATTCTCCCCTATACTGCAAACTATAACTTAGTGCTATTTTTTAAGAACTCAAAGCCAACCAGCAGAAAGTTACAAGAAAGACACATCAAAGTAATATAAATCATGAACTTAAATTCTATATGGAACTCAAGAACCAAGATAAACACTGGAAAGTTATATCCAAACATCTCCACGTGCAGTCCCTGCAGAAAGCAGCCGTGCTGTGATCACATTACTGGGTGTCCCCCTGAACTACAGCACTGGGAGAGACCAACGAGAAGGGCTTGTCTTATTTACAGCTATAACCTCAGCATCTTGAATAGTGTCTGTTGTCGAATAAAAATAATCTTCAACCAAGCCCCAATCTAGCAATGATTCAGTAACTTTACATTCCAGTCTCTCTTCACAAGGTTGCTGGAAGATGCCCAACACTTTCCTGTCCTCTGAAAGAAATGAAACCAATAAATTCAAGAGCTTTTTCCTTTTGAGAAAGATCTCAAAATGGCCAAATGTGACCCAAGATGTATTTAAGTTGGAACCATATCACATCTTAAAAAAAAATGAGCCAACATATTAAAATTAGTAGGTTTCATAGACAAATCAGATTTCCAGGTTCTCTAGAAAAATTGGAAGGTCTAGCAACACTGGGCCTGTGTTCTTGAATGACAACAATCAATTGAACCTGATGATCAACTGCTTGGTTTGCCAGAGAACTTGCCATTCCCTGGTGCTACTTATCAGAGCTTGCATTTTTCTTTCCATTCTGAGTTTAAAATATATTCTTTTATATCCTGTTTATTTTATGTTATGTGCTTACACAATAGTTCTGTAACCATAGAAGTGTGATATATACCAATAATTGATTTTTCTCCCACCCACTTCTCCCATTTATATTATCTGCTTGGCTCCTGTAGGCATGTGAGTTGTTAACCACTGCCCTGAAGACAACCTTCAATCAAATTAGGCTGCATTAGGTCTTTAGAACCACTAGATGGCGATCACTTGGCCTCGTTAACCTTGTTTCTTGCAGCTACTCCTCAATGTTTTGATAATTGTCTTAACCACACCAGAAAAAGTTTCACGTGATCAAGAGAGAAAATTTCAGTACTTTCCAGGGCTAAATGTCACTCCAATAAAATTTTCCATTGTAACTTGTAAATTAAAATAATAATTATATATTTATATATATGAAAATATGTTTCTGGTGAGACTTCTAATAGACTTATGGAAAACAATATTAGTTCATAGCAACAAAAGGACATTGATTTAATATGAAAATATTTGAGAATGTTTCATTAAAAAGTATTCCTTTTTAATATTAAATCTAGAGTTGGTTAGTATGGGAGCCACAGTACAGAATACTTAATTGTCTTGTCTCAGATGCAAATAAATCATTTTGAAGATAAGTGCAGGCAACAGTGAGCAACAGGAGGAACAATCTAGAAATCTGAATCACCTAAGAGTCCATAATCACTCAAATAAAGTGATTTAAACTATGAAACTTCAACATAAAGGGCAATTTGATTATTGCTATTTCAGGGTTCACCTTGTTTTTATTGACTTTCAGATAGAAAATTATCAAAGAGAAGGAAAATAGATATTATTTTTATTCAACGTTATAGTCTTATCCTACCATAGATGACTGAGTGTAGGCTTATAATTTCTATTTTTATCCAAAGAGAAACTATTTAACGTATATCTCATATAACCTATAGTTTTCAACTGAATAAAAAGTTAAATAATGTGCCATTCACCCAATCCATATTCATCCTTGTACCTTCTTAAAATTGTGTTCTATCAACAACTTAATAGTTCCATATCAGGTGAACACCACTAAAATTGGTTTTCATTCTGATGTCAAAGGCAACACATAACCCAACAATCATGGTCAAGCCATGCTCTGCTCGCATGAGGGTAACTCATCTGTGAAGGAAGCCTGAAGAAACAAAACACACGTATATATTCATTCAGATACAACACTGTTTGCTTCTTCCCACTAGAGATTATATGGATTAGTCATTATTTTGGTACTAATTTAAAGCTATTTTAATATATAAGTATCCTGTCACTAATTCAATTTATATAGTATCTCCTTGTATCCTATACTGAGCAAGTCTGTAGATGCAAAAATGAAAAAGACATGGTCCTTAAAGCAAAGAAATTAGGAGTCTAGCAAAAAATAACATACATAAAGTTTATGGTTATACATGTACATACATAAACACTATATACATATTTAATATGTAGGTATAACATACACAGTATGTTACATTATCAGAAATGATAAAATAAGAAAATGCAACAACAGATATTTATGTAATGTAAAATAGTATATACATATATTTGGTTTATATATAACATATATTTGGTTTAGACACAAGTAAAAACATTAACTTTTAGAATTATAAAATGAAAACATATTAGCATAAATACTGAAAAAGAATTTAATAAAATTTCTATATATTCATTCTGGAAAATCTTATTTAAAAGCAGTCTGTAGGTTAGTATAATTTCATGACCAAATGCCCATGACACAAATATAAACATTAGCCAAAACTGATCAAAGACTATGTTCTATAGAGTAAACTTAGTACTTGCTTCACAAATAGCAAGTTTGTCCATCTAAAGAAAATCACATTTGTATGACAAAGATAGTGCTGGTATCCAAATTACAGTAAAAA